TTCTTTTTATTCTTCTTAAAGAAGACCCTTGAACATTTCATGTAATACTGATATGGTGGTGATGAACTCCTTTAGCTTTTTCTTGTCTGGGAAGCTGTTTATCTATCCTTCAATTCTAAATGATAGCTTTGCTGGGTAGAATAATTTTGGTTGTAGGTCCTTGCTTTTCATCACTTTGAATATTTCTTGGCACTCCCTTCCAGCCTGCAAAGTTGCTGTTGAGAAATCAGCTGACCATCTTATGGGAGCTTCCATGTAGGTGACTAATTGCTTTTCTCTTGTTGCTTTTAAGATTCTCTCTCTGTCTTTAACCTTTTGCATTTTTATGTGTCTTGGAGTGGGCCTCTTTGGGTTCATCTTGTTTAGGACTCTGCCTTTCCTGGACTTCTATGTCTATTTCCTTCACTAAGTTAGGGAATTTTTCTGTCATTATTTTTTCAAATAGGTTTTAACTTCTTGCTCTCTCTCTTCTACTTCCAGCACCCTCATGGTGTGAATGTTGGTAAGCTTGAAGTTGTCCCACAGGCTCCTTATATTATCCTCATTTTTTTGGATTGTTTTTCCTTTTGTTGTTCTAATTGGGTGTTTTCTGCCTCCTTATATTCCAAATCACTTTTTTGATTCTCAGCTTTATCTACAATACTGTTGATTCCCTGTAAATAATTCTTCATTTCAGTTAGTGTATCTTTCATTTCTGACTGCTTCTCAATTATGGTTTCCCTGTCCTTTTTTATGCTGTTGAAGTTCCTCTAAGTCCATCTACTCTTTCCCTAAGTTTATTGAGCACCCTTATAACCAGTGTTTTGAACTCTGCATCTAATAAATTGTGTATCGTCATTCTGCTTAGTCTTTTTCTGGAGTTTTGTTCTGTTCTTTAATTTGGGACATGTTTCTTTGTCTCTTCATTTTGGCAGCCTCCCTGCATTTGTTTCTATGTATTAGGTAGAGCTGCTACATCACCTGGGCTTGGTAAAGTGGTTTAATGTAGTAGGTGTCCTGTAGGCTCCAGTGGCTCAGCCTCCCCATTCATCTGCGCTGGGCCCTCCAACCAGGCATGCACCATCCCTGGTGGGCTGTGTACACCCTCCTTTTGTAGTTGAACCTCAATTGCTGTTGGCATATCATTGGAGGGGTTTACCCCAAAGCCCATCGGCTGCAAGGACTGGCTGTGACCACCATCGGGCATTACTTCAGCAGGGCTCTGGTGCCTACTGAGTTTGTCCCTTGAGTGTTGTCATTTGTGGAATTGGTTGGGTGGTGCTTTGACATGATCTGAAGTTGTCCATTAGGTGTAGTCGTTCTGGCTTCTCCTGGGAGATTCAGGCCAAACTCAGCCACCACCTATGTTCTTCCCGGGCTACCCAGCATGAGCTACAAAGCAATCTGCTGATGGCTGCTACTTGTGCTGGGCTTGGAGGTCCCCAGGAGAGGCTATTGTGAACCAATGCTTACTACTATGAGTGATGGGCCTGGGGACACTGAGCAAGAGGGATGGGGCACACCAAGGCCAGATGCTGCTTATTTGAGTGATTTTAGGAAAGTCTGAAGCATGTGCCAAGACAAGCCATTAGTATGAAAATGCCACGGGAAACAGTTTGGGTGGGCCCTCAAGTTTGTGAGGTAAGGTCTTAGGGAATCACCAGAAATAGATGAACAGTGTGGTCCAGGTTGATTGAGACTCAGATATGGCACCTGTCTGCCAGTTCTATAGGGTGAGGGATCAGAAAAGGAACCATGGCCTCTGCCAGCACTTCGTCTGGAATGAAGCTGCCTCTCTAGCTCTCTCCCTGATGCTGGACAATTCATTTGCTCCCGGTATGTTTTTGGTGCCTTTCTAGCTGCTTCCCAAGTGCTGGAGCTCAGAGGGAGTGAGTCTGAGTAAGTGTACAGGCCCTATAAGAGGAACTGCCTGGGACTCCAGAAGCCCTCTGTCTCACTCACCCACAGTCCTCACTGGTGTTTACAGCTAGTAGTTATGGGAATTTGTCTTCCTGGTGTGGGAATCCTGGGCTGGGGGGCCTGGTGTGGGGCTGGGACCTCTCGCTTCTCAGGGTGAACCTCTGCAACTGAGATATACCCCCCCCCCCC